TTTACACTGCAACACCTCCCCCCTCGTCCCCCCCTCTCCTGGTTACCCCTCCCTGCTCTTCTTTTAAAAAGCCCCCGGGGCGGCCCCCCCCCCCCCCCCCCCCCCCACACACACACACACTGTCCAGCTGTTATCAAAGCAGCTGTGCACAGAAACATCAGGGAGTTGCAGAAGACAAAAACTCCTCCCAAGGACTCTGGGAACACGTCGCTGTGTCTACCATATCAGTCAAAACCCCTGAGCATACTCCTCAGACTGAAGAAGTCCTTTGGATAAAACATGAAATGTTTCAGCAAAGAAGAATCCGTCCAAAGGACCTGACTCAACCGTGTTAGATTCTCCACTATCGTCTTCCCGGTAGTCACATCAAGAATGATTATAATATAGAGAACGGATCATGGAAACATTATATGTTAAACGAGGGCCGAGATGATGTAGAGCAGCCGACCTGGGACCAGAAAGTCGCGGTTCGACTCCCCGCCTTGCCCACATGTGGTGTCCTTGAGCAAAACACCAAATCCCTAATAGCTCCCCGGGTGCTTACATTACTGCCCACTGCTCCACCTGGGTGTATCTCACGTGATGGGTTAACTGCAGAGAACTCATTTCATCATCGTATAGAAACACAATGCTGGCAACACATAGCACTAACATCATTCAGCATATCAGTAAAGTCTATATTAATAAAATAAAATGATAAAGCATGGTTCATACATTAATCATATACATGTTGCCTCGACAACAGAAATAAAACTGGATTTAGTGTGACTGTCAGTTGTACTTGCAAGCAGTTTTTGGAGGAGCTTGGCAGAGAGATTGGTCTGAACATCTTGGAGATCTCTGGAGGATCCAGTCTCAGATTGGTCCGTGTGCGGATGATGCTGAGATCAGGACTCTGTGGGCCGTTCCATCACTTCTAGAACTCCCTGCCTTTAGTTTAACAATGTGTTGCTGCATGTTTCTGTCCTGCTGCAGAATAAATCTTGGGCTGTCCAGACACCTCCCTAAAGGGTTTGAATGTCCTCAGCTAAAAATAAACATTTCACATTTGGACTCAGTTTGGGGCGCATTCTGCCATGGATCTGTATGCGAGTTAGGATGCTTTTGTGGACCTTTTGACCTGGTTTCTATATTGTAGATTTGCCTTTTTGGCTCCAATTCTTCTGTAAAACACCCAGACCTGGGCAGACAGACTGGTGATTGTGGGTCCAACAGGTTTCTACTGGGCATCCTCAAACAGAAGCGAGCATGCGTTTCATCTGCACCTACAGTACAATGCTCAGTGTTTTCTGTGTTGGTGCTTCTTAAAAAGTGTCATCAGCAGTTCTTTAGCCCACAGTCTGCTGCTGTCAACCTTTGACTACAACCTGTCATCCACAGCTGCACCTTAAAGGTTCGGCTGCTCCTGCCTCAATATTAAACCTGCAGTTTCGTATCAGTTTCAGTTCATGACTGTAGTTCAACCTACAAATGGATGAAGCATGAATCTGCTGTTTCATCAAAAATAAATGCAGGGGGAATTGGAAATAACCACTGCACGTCCGTCTGTCCAGCTGTGCTTTGTGAGCTGGATAACTTGATAAATAAGTGAGGCATCGACTTCCATGTTGGTGTGTGGCTATTTATGTAAACAAACCACCCCCATCATTTGAAGAAACTATGACTTCTAGTTTTTATATTATTTAAAAGTATATCCAACAAAGTTAAGTCAGGTCCTGTGGACGGTTTCTTTTTCTTGAAATGTTTCGTCTTTCATCCAACACTTCATCAGCCCGAGGAGCCACAACAAACTATAAACCCTCAGTGGGTCAACCAGTTTGATGGGGGCTCTGTTGGTTTCTGAAGTCCACCCTCTCTCCCACTGACTCGTTTGAGGCAGTCTGGTCAAACTGGTTGACCCAAGGTGCTGTTTATAAGAGTGAGTTTGTTGCAGCTCCTCTGACTGATGAAGTCTTTTGGATGAAAGACTAAATGTTCTAACAAAAAGAATCTGTCCAGAGGACGTGACTTAACTTTGTTGGATTTTTCTACCTGGATTATTAAACATGAATCAGGATGCAAGTAGTTTTCTCAAATAATAGTGGTGGCTGAAGCTTAATCTATGGTGGCCAAGGCCACCAGTGTCCACCCCCTGGCTCCACCACTGCACCTAGTGGTGGATCAAATGGCTCCCTCCAGTCTCCATCACTCTGCTCCACCTTGGACAAACAACAAAACCATTACCTGTGTTCTCCTCCACAGTGGAACTCCTGCCCACTTGAATATCTTGCATCTCTGTTCAATTCCAGTCCAAACATCAACGATTCATATCCTTCAGGGTTGAACTCAGGGACAACGGTACACCACTTGTGAGCTCACTTTGAATTTTATAAACTGATAATCTCATTATTTGCAGCATCTCCCAAACCTGTCTTGAATGTTTGCACATCACCTTCACCTTGGAAACCCAGATGTTTCACTGAGCTTCATATATTGTGCTATTTACCTCACAAATTGCATGTGAAGCTTTGGTCCACTTCAAAACAAATAAACTGGTCTTTGTCCCCAACAATGTGATGAGCTCAGTCCAGCTGAAGATCAGGTATGAACATCTGTAGGATAATCAGAGAAACGTGGAACTTCTTCCCTCTAATTTATAAATGGAGGTCATGTCCTCACGTTTCCTCCTGGGTTTTTATTGGGAGTAGATGCACCTTAAACCAGATCAAGTTGTTCAAAGTGTACTTTGAACACGTGATTTGGTACCAGTTTGAGGCTCATGTTACAGGCTGGCACGCCTTTATCTCATGTTCTCCTTCTAAAGGTCATGTTTCGTGCAGGAAACCCAGCTGGGTCGTCTGCTGCGCTCCAAACACCTACAAGTCCAACACCTGAAAGGAACATGGACAGTTCTGGTAAGTCTAAATGACAAACGTCCTTCACAACACAAGGCTCACAAATGATCACCCTCTGAAGATGATGAAATGAAAAAGTTTATTCTTAAATTACAAACGTTGTAACAAGACCATTTTTAAGCCAAACTGGTTAGACAAACTTTATTCCTCAGAATGAAGAGTCAAAAAGTCGATGAGGTAAGGAATATAAAAGTATCACTTGAAACTTCTGCAGCGTGGCCTTACTTTACTCCCTCGGACGATACGTGACGAGATTCACCACCGGAACAAAACGCAAACAGAAAATAACAGTTTTCATCGACCTGCCAACCAGAAACGTCTAAGCAACTCTCTTTAAAACACACAAATCACAAAACTTTACATACACTTGATGTTTCTTTACTCCGGCACAACAAGAACATTTAGGAAGCTGCAGCTGCTAAAAATGAAAAACATGAATTCACAATAAAAACGCCAATTCTTTAACGCTGTGCAACAATGAAATAAATCTGAATTGTACTAATCTCCTAAATTTTCTGTGAGTAATCTGAAATCAGCTCAAAGCCAGCAGCCTGTGGAGCACTTCAAACATTAAGTGGAACGCTTTAAAGCACAAGTAGCTCATTTTTGTTTCCCTTCGTCAAGTGGTCGAATTCTTTTGAAACGCAGCCTGCTCTGAAATTATATTTTCCAAAGTTTAAGTTTGAGAGTTTTGAATTAAACACTTTAAAAATAATGTGAAGAAAGTGATTGAAGTAGGATGAGAACTGGCGAATAGTTATCTCAGATGACTTGAGCTCCATCGAGTTCATTTCTGTGACAGCGGAGAGAATTCAAATCACAACTTGGCTCCATGTCCAGGATTCCACTCTGTTTTCACTGCAAGTAACAAATGGAACCAGGACTCCCAGAAGCCCCCTGAGTACTGGGTGAGTAACGTTTACACCATCGCTTCAGCTTCTGTGGAATTTAAAAAAGAATGAACTCAAGATACGTGGAGCTAAAACCAAGCGGAGACACAACTGAACCTTAAAAGCATGTTAACATTAACTGCTGTCATGTCGAGGCTGAAAAACTTCAAAGTTATTTATGGACTGGAAGAACCCGATGCACGAGTCGGCTTCACCCAGTTAGAAATCATCCAGATCAAAAAGCGGTCCTGCGTTGTATCGTGTTGCTCTTGTACCAGTTGTCCCACACCAGACGTGGAACTGAGTGAAGACCAGTCAGGACTAAATGACTTGTCTCTTCACACTTCAGTCACTGTGCACTGACCATCAGGCATCCTGGACCTTCCACTGCCACCAGATGATGGAGGGGGGGAGGCAGACTCTGCACGGGGTCGGGCTCTGGTCTCTGGGGACAGTCTTCGTCTCCGTGGCCAGTCCTCCCAATGCTCTGCGTGATCACCATCTCCTCCCTCCTCTTCCTCGTCGTCGCTCCAGTCGCCGGACTCGTCCACAGGAGTGTGAGGGTCAGAAGACCTGGAGGGTGATGTCTCCTCCTCTCTGTCTTCCCCCTCCCCAGCTTCAGACCGTTCATTGGAAGGCAGAGGTCTGGGGCTGATATGCAGCTGTGAGAGAGCATTCTCCAGAGAGGGGCTAGAACTTGGGCCGGGCTGGCCCCCCAGGGAAGTGGGAGGCCGGGCAGTAGCTGAGGGGGCTGTAGCGATGGAGGGGATGATCGTAACCTGTTGCTGTATTCCTGCTACTGACATATCAGCCCCATCTGCAAAGTTCCCACGACCAGCTGGCCCCAGAGCCCCAGCAACAGCCTCAGCGTCCAACCTCAGTCCAGCCACTCCTTTCTTTGGAATATCTAAAACGTCTCTCTTCATCTTGCGCCTACGACCGTGCTCGTTCCGCCTGTACTGCACCATATTCTCTAAGTCAGCTACGTACAGAAACCCGGCGATTAGCATTTCTGCAGTCTTCTTGCCCTTAGAGAAAGCATCTTCCAGCTCACGGCTGGTTCGCTCGTCATACTGCCACCAGCCATTACGACCCTCATAATACCAAGCGTGGTCACTCGTTGCCCCACCCCGACCTCCAGCTGATGCTTTCAGCTCCTCCGGAGAGAGAAGGGTAGGCCTTTCCAAGAAATCATCTGGTACTTCCTGTCTGCAAAGAGCGCAGCGTTTGCTCTGCCAGGACGCTCCCTTCACGCACAGGAAGCAGAAGACATGATGGCACGGCAGTTGGACTGGGTGGACACAGCTCTGCAGACAGATGGCACACTCTGGCACGGTTAGAGGAGGAGATGAGTTGCCAGAGCATGATGATTCTGCACCATTCCCACCTCCACCACCCTTCTTACTGGATGGAAGTGAGTCAACAGAGTGGTCGACCTCTCCACAACTAGCCATCCTGAAGAAGTACTGAAGGAAAGAGGAAAATTGTTTTTATATATTAAGATGGGCATGGCTTTCATTTTCTTGTTTATTAAAAAAAAGAACAAATTATCTTACAAATGTATTCAGATGGACTAAACAAGAAACACATGTATCATTTTCACACAGATACTTACTCAAAGTTGCTTTAATGCTGATGAATCATTAGGAAAGCTGTTGAGCCCTCAAACCTCCCACTGTAAAAATGAAACAAACAGTGAGCGATAATGTTTTTGTTTGTTTTATGTTCACCAGACAGGCCTTTGAGTTGTAACTTACTGTTTCATAGTTTGCTTCCAAGGTACTAGACTTTGCTGTAATTGTTTAAATAATCAGGCTTTCTGGGGGATCTCTTCAGTTTTGTCTTTAGAGTTGGGCCCTGTTTACACAAGAACAACCTCTGGAAACTGTGTTTTTTTCAATGTTTATTACAAAATAGAGCGAGTTTACACGAAAGCGCTGTAGTTTCCATGTCAGTCGGGTTGCCAGATAAGAAATTATGAACTGACGCTTTAAAACGATAGTATTTTGACCTAAACGGTCATATGTGCTGAGCAAGCGTGTTGTAAAATGAAGCGTGCGCTGTGTTTTGTGAACATTTGCGCAGAAAAATGAGGGGGTAAATAAGACATTTTAAATTTATCTGGCAACCCTGCAGGGCGCAGCTGCATTCATTGTAGGTGCAGTGTTTGCATGATCAGTTATGTCAAAACTGATGAATACACTAACGTCTCTTTGGATCCTGGATTTTATGAGTTTTACTCCTACATGCAGAAAAAGGGTGAGTAGCACAAAAACACTCTGCTCTCTGCCATTTATTATAACTCAGGGATATTCAACTGGTGGCCCGGGTGCAAATCAGTCCCATGGGTGTGTTTAGTTTGGTCCCAACAATGTGTTCGTTTTTAAATAAAACTTGATTTTAAATTGTAAAACAACCTTAATGAGAATAAGCGCTGGATGTCCGGCCCCTGAGCTCTTGGCTCTCAGTAAGTGTAGCCTCCTGAGCAGTTTAGTTGAATAGCCCTTATACAACTGTTGTGGTGCAGAAAAACTTTTGACTGCAGCCGCCTGTGTGCGCATGTACAACTTCAAAACTTGCGGAGCATTTCACGCCTCCACGAGGGGTTCATCTGAAAGTCTCCACTCTGAGACCTGGATTCAGAAACCTTCGGTTTCAGAGAACGAGGGCTGTTGTCGTGTAAATGAACGGTTGAACGGCAGCAGAAAAACAGTGGGTTCACTCAAAAAACAAGTTGTGCAAAAGGGGCCTTGGGCTTCTTTTCACTCCAGTGATTGACCATTTTCTGAGAAAAGTACTTTGTTTGTTAAGCTAAGTATCTCTAACCCATGAAACATTCAAACTCAGTGAACAATACAGAGTTGTGTTGACAAAAAACTACTTAAATTACCAACTTTACACACAATCTTTAGGCACTATTACTAGCAGGCTGTTGCAAACACAATTTATTCTCGTTAGTTTCTACTGAATCAATGAAAAATGCCAAAAAGAACAATTGGGCACATAAAATGTATTTTAGCAAACAAGGTGATTATCAGGCAGCCCAGAGGTACAGTGGTTAGAGCTGTCATCCCACAGAGACAATGTTGCAGGTTCGCCTCCAGGCCTGGGGCTTTTCTGGGTTTGAAGTTTTTATGCTATCCCAATGCATGTGTGGGTTTTCACTGGTTTCATCCCACAGAATAAAAACATGCATATTGGGTTAACTGGTAACTAAAACTATTTTTGGGCGAGTATGTGAATGGTTATTTGTCTCTATGTGTCCCTGTGATGGACTTGTGACCTGTCCAGGTGTACCCGCCTCATGCAGTAACCACCGGCGATGGCACCAGCTTCCACACGACTCAGAACGGAAAAGCAGGTGAAGAACATGGATGGATGACAGTTCCCAAAGCTAAGAGCTGAAAAACTGCCACGATTAAATGAAGAATTATTAATTTTTCAGGTCTCATCAGGTCTTTTTTTTTTCTTCTGTCTGACATTTTTTTTGTCCTCCAATCGTTTGCTTTCTTTATTGTCTGGGCCCACACACAGTCAGTACAATGTTCATGCACAACAAGTGAGCAGAACATGTTCAAAAACCTTCAGAGAGCCTGAAGTATTTCAGATCTGACCCACTTTAAAACATCGCAAAAATGTCTGCTTCTCTCAAAACAAGGTGTGAAGAAATCAGGAGCAGTTACACTTTTGTACAGAACTATAAGCAGAGCAATGAAGAAGTAATTAAGATACTTCTTATGTAAACAATTACTGAAAAGCTTAATTTTTTTTAACAATATGACGTTTAAAATGAAAACTGGGCAAGTGAAGTTTAAGATGTAAGAAACAAAGGAAAGCTGTGTTGACCTACAACAATCCGTGACTTTGTCCTAAACCGGCCTAGCCATCCTGTGTGATAAACGCATCTACAATGATCAGATTTGTGTAAGAACTTAAAGATATAACATTAGTACATTTACTGACAGTTTATAAAGGAAATCCGTTTAAACAATAAATACAGAATAGAGAATTACCATTACAGTAAAACGCATGAAAAAGTCACATTCTAGTGTCCTTATGCCTTTAAAACAATGAAAAATGTTGTAATCATCTGAACCTGGGATGGGCTAAGTGCTGCGCTGTAGCTCAGTCCAGAAAGTAGACGGAGTTCATTTGACTGCGCTAGCTTGTTTTAGCGGGGCGACATAAACAAAAAAAAAAACAGTCGCGACACAGACAACACGGCGATTACACACAACCATACCTTTAAACCCGGCTGTGTTGGGTCTTCCTCGCTATTTTAATCGTGCTGTAGTCTAATTTTTCAAGGCTAAGACACCGACTGCCACCGATAACTGTCTTTGTTTTCCTCGGAAAGAGGAGCTGGGATGAAGGGGGTCGACTTGACGCAACAGTACGCGATGACGTCATTAAACGTCGACGTAACGTACGACGTTTCTTCGACGCACTACAACTCCGCAGTCTTCCTGTTCGCTCGTGGCTAGAGGACGTTGGTGTCACGAAGGAGAGGGGCTCCTAAGGGATTTTATTTTGTTTTAAACTCCGTAAAGAAATAAGAGCAGGATGTTTTCCCGCGCAGTGAGGCCCTCGCTGAGCTTCGCTCGGAGCCTGTCCACCTCCTCGCGGAACAACGCCAAGGTGGCGGTGCTCGGAGCTTCAGGCGGTATAGGCCAGCCGCTGTCCCTGCTGCTAAAGAACAGCCCCCTGGTGAGTCGCCTCTCTCTGTACGATATCGCCCACACGCCCGGGGTGGCCGCGGATCTCAGCCACATCGAGACCAGGGCTCAGGTGACCGGTTACATGGGGCCGGACCAGCTGGACGCCGCTCTGCAGGGCTGCGACGTGGTGGTTATCCCCGCCGGCGTGCCCAGGAAGCCCGGCATGACGCGCGACGACCTCTTCAACACCAACGCCACCATCGTGGCCACCTTGGCAGACGCCTGCGCCCGCACCTGTCCTGAGGCCTTGATCTGCATCATTGCCAACCCTGTGAACTCCACCATCCCCATCACATCGGAGATCATGAAGAAGCACGGCGTGTACAACCCCAACAGAGTGTTCGGGGTCACAACCTTGGACATTGTCAGAGCCAACACCTTTGTGGCAGAGCTCAAGGGCCTTGACCCAGCTCGGGTCAACGTGCCAGTTATTGGTGGTCATGCAGGGAAGACCATCATCCCCCTGATTTCCCAGTGCACACCTAAAGTTGAGTTTCCTGCCGACCAGCTGGCCGCCTTGACTGAAAGGATCCAGGAAGCGGGCACTGAGGTGGTTAAAGCCAAGGCAGGCGCAGGGTCCGCCACGCTGTCCATGGCGTACGCAGGCGCCCGCTTCACCTTCTCTGTCCTGGATGCCATGAATGGCAAGGAGGGCGTGGTGGAGTGTGCCTTCGTCAGGTCTGAGGAGACGGAGTGCAAGTACTTCTCCACGCCTCTCCTGCTGGGGAAGAACGGCATCGAGAAGAACCTCGGGCTGGGCTTGCTGTCCGCCTTCGAGGAGAAGCTGGTTGCTGATTGCATCGGCGAGCTGAAGGCTTCCATCAAGAAAGGCGAGGACTTTGTGTCCAACATGAAGTGAACAGAAATGATTTGTCTTAAAGCATCAGAGTAACTTGAGATCCGTCGGTGTTTCCTCCTCTTTGTTTTAGCAGTAGAATCATCTTGGTCGTTTTGTGAACGTGACTCGTCTGTAGGTGTACCGTGACTTTTATTTTATTTGCAAATCTTTAATTCAGAAAGTCATTTCTGTGTTTTTGAAGATGTTTCTGCTAAGTGAACAAGGAGGAAATACTGTCTGCCTGCTAATGTTAAAAATGGTTATTTTTGTTGCTGATGAGCAAAATATTCACTCCGTCAATAAACAATTTAGCTTCAAGATGTTTCCTTTTTCTTGTTCAAAGGACATGATTTGATGGAGCACCAGAGTGGTGACCAGATGTGCACAGTTAACCTTCAAACATAAATAAACCAGTTGTTCTTCAACACTGAACGCCTTTTAAAACTGAAATCAAACATTTAGTGAACAAAATGTAACTTTTTTTATTGTAGACTTCTAATGGGACTTGTTGATGGAAAACCAAAGACCTAATCCTAATTTTGACTTGTCACTGAGGGGGTGCTGGAAAGAAAGACGAGTTTAAATACTTGAATCATTTCTGCTAAAGTGACTCAACAGTCAAAATAAGCTGAGGACTGCAGAAAGTGTCTGTGCACATCAGGTTTTATTTCACTGATTAATAGCTGCACACTGATTCATTTCTCCTTTAATTACAAAACAAGTCTGTTTGAACCCCCTTCAAAATAAAAGTAGAGTACAGATTAAAAGTTGTCATTCCTCGAAGGAATTCCCATCGCCCGCTACTTTTCGCTAGTTTTCAAGTAAGGAGTTGTAGCGTTCGATGAAACGTGCAGAACTGTGAGACGTGTCGAGGATGATCCACAGCTGCTCAAAGTTTTAAAAAATCTGAATAAATTAAAGCCTTTTTTTGTGTTTGCTGATCTTGAATACATTCTGAAGGTTCAGTGAAATCCATTAAGTGGGCCGTGAGATATTTTGCTAACAGACTAGGCTGACTCCCAATTGTTAATGTTGAAATTTTAAGCAGCAAGTTTCACTTGGAGGACGTGAACAACTTTCAGTTACAACACAATTCATAATGGCGTCTGAAATATTGACTTTATTTTAGTATTTTCTAAGGTGAGTTGGCTGTGGCGGCCATCTTAAACTGGACTGACATGTTTTTAGCTGTAGTGTAGCCTTCAGTGTCATTTTGCAAACAAAATTTAGACTTTAAACATTTTTGATCAAAGGAGCCATTTCAGCCCCTTTGCTCACTGAATGTGTCCGGAGCCTTGAAACCTGCTTCATCAACTGGTGGCCCATGGGCCAATTCAAGCTCATCAGAGGGGGGCTCTTCTGGCCAGTAGGGGTGACATTATAAAACTAAAAATATATGAATGTTGACATTTATTGATCTAAATTTTAGGACAAAAAAACAACATTGTTTTCCTTTTTTTTTTTTCATTTAATTGACCCTTTATTTATCCAGGTAGTCTCATGAGTCACGAGAACTCATTTTCAAGAGAGACCTGTTTAGGAGCAGATGGTGGGGGTTAAGGCCTTGCTCAAGGGCCCAGAGTGGGGCAAATGGAGACAGGGTGGGTGCTTCAAATTTTCTCACCCACATTTTGATGTTGTTGGTCCGGGGGCTTGAACCCATGACCTTCCAATCACAGGCTTTCTTTCTCCAACCTCTGCACCACCACTCCCTTAACAGACCATATTCATTTAAAGAAGGGAAAAAGTTTAAACCAGTTCTGATCAAAATTCAAAACTGAACTCTGCAGTCCTCTTACCTGTGGATAAATTAAGTAAAGAGCTGCAGCATAAATGTCAAATGTGTAAAAACAAGGACATTTTGTTGCATAATTCTTACATGGAATATGAAAAACAAATACTTTTATTTACTTCGACTTTATGTTTTTGTTTTCTATTTATTTTTGTCTAATTGACTGAACGTAACTCTTCAGAGCAACTTGTCCTAAAATATTCCAAATAATTTCTGGTGGATTTGAGCAAACGACCTCACTGGAAGTTGATAAATCTAATCAATGTGTTTCACTCCTTCATCATTTGCACATTTTCTGAAAATTGACCAAACAAATGAGAAAACTGCTGAAACTAGCCTGATCTGTTGTGGGTATAAAATAAAACCTGATAAAAATAAATATGTCAGTTTGGTTTCAAAGGGCCCCAGACGATGGACTGAAGAGCCACGTGTGGCCCCAGAGCCGCAGGTTGAAGACCCCTCCTCCACACAAGATCTTGTTCAGTCTGTCAGCACTCTGAACAGATGTTGCAGATCAGTCTCAGCTACTACCAAACACATTTTCATAGCATCAGTTGGCTGTGGCGGCCATCTTAATTCTAATTGACTCCAGTTATAGATTATTTTCTGCAAATTGTCCAGTGGTTCATGAGATGTTTGGATGAGAGAAAAACATTATCGCCCGCTGTCGCCTTATTGAAACAGGAAATAAAATTAAAATAAAAAGTCTACCAAGACAAGTACAAACCATTACAGTTTTATTTTACATAATTCTGCATTTCTATTTGGAGTTTTATTTCTTTTTTCATTCACAAGACGAGAAACCAACGCTCAGATTGAACACCTCTCTGGACTGAAAGCTTTCCCTCCAGGGAGCTTCCTCCACGTGTCTGCGGGCGTGGAAAAGAAAGAATCTGTCCTGCTTTCTTTGGAAACTTTGCGTTACACAAACAGATTTAAAGAATAGATACAACGACGACAACAATAATAAACAGTTGTTCTACACGACGTTGTAAAATCTACATTCAGAACCCCAGAAGCACAACGTTGTACCAGAGCCCCATTAAATAACCACAAGCTCATCAGGTCTGAGTCTGTCGTCCACACGCTCACACATTACTCTGCAGTCCTGTTGCCTTCACACTCAGAGCGGTGCATGTGCACGAGATTCAACCAGTAAGGGGACATTTTAAAGTCACAAGAGGATGCTAATGCAAAAATCAGTCTTTTGTACAGGTAGCAGCAACACCCCTGTAAAGAGGGGTTCGAGAGGGCGAAAGGGGGTGTTGGAGGGCGTAGTGTGAGGGATGGGCTCATGGGAGGAGGGTGGTCCAGCACTACTGCACAGCTCTGTCTTCAGAGGACGCTGCCTCTGTGTCGTGGCCTCGGCGGTGTCTGTGCTCCGTCTTGTTCCTGTTGTCAGAGTCTTCACGCTCCACCGCCTCCCTGTCCCTCTTCCTCCCCCTTCGCGCCTCCTGGCTCTCCTTGTCCTTGCGGTTGTTGCGATTCTTTTTCCCATTTCGCTCGGCCTTTTTCCGTCCTCCTGAAAGCAAAAGTTAAAAGGAGACATTAGTGCGTTTGCTGAGTTCATAACGCCTGCAGTGTCCACTGTTAGGAAAACGTTACTCGAAACTGCTTGAAACAGCAGTGAAGGCTGCTATGAGACAGATCTGGTTATCAGGCTGCAGACTGACAAAGTCCTCTGGATGGAGGATGAAACATCCATCCATTATCTTTTACACGCTTCTTCCATTTTGGGTCACGGGGTCACCAGTGCCCATGTCCAGCAATCACTGTGCGAGGGGCGGGGTACACCCTGGACGGGTCTCCAGTCCATCACAGGGACACATAGAGACAAACGAGACAAACAACCATTCACTCTCTCACTCACACCTAGGGACAATTTAGAGTCACCAATCACCATAACATGCATGTTTTTGATCTGTGGGAGGAAACTGGAGTACACGGCGAAAACCCACGCATGCACGGAGAGAACATGCAAACTCCACTCAGAAAGGCCCCCGGACCGGGATTTGAACCATGGACCTGCTCGCTGAGAGGCAGCAGCTCTACCAGTTGCACCACCGTGCCGCCCGGAGGACAAAACATTTCTCACTTAAAGAAACAGGTCCAGATGATATGATTTAACCTTTGTTGTTGTTAGTACAGTTGGGCAGAATGTCCTAATGGCACAACAGATTTATATATTTAGTTAATTATGTTTGAAAATCATTTTCACTGTTGAGATTTGTTCATCTTCTGTACGATTTTCAGCATCTGCAATTTTTCTGCTATTTCAACCATTCATGAATCAAAATGTTCATCTCAGTCAGGACATTCCTGCTGTGACTTTTGGTATTTGTTCAAGTTTGACTTTGAAATATTTAGCTTTGTCAGCCATATTTTTCTCATTGAAAATGAATGGAGCTCTCTTCACATCCTTCAACCCCTTTAGCTGTTTACAGCTCGTTACTGCTCATTTCAGCTCTTGTTCTGGTTCAGTTTTATTCAGCCTTTTTGTTCATTTCAGCATCCTTCAGCTCCTTTCAGCTATTTTTCTGCTTCTGTCTGCTAATCTCAGCTTTTTTGCTCTGTTTTCAGCTTCTTTCAGGCAAAATTAAGATTTTTCAGCCTTTTCAGCTACTTTTTAAAAAGGTATACGTCTGCTAATTTTAGCCTTTTTCCTGCTATTTTTGCTAATTTATGCATTTTGCGGTTCTTAATAATTTCTACATTTTGTGCTCCTTTCAGACTGTTTCTGCAAATTTCAGTTAGCCTTTTCAGTTACCTTTTTTATTTTTTTTGTTGCTAATTTCAATTAATTTCCACTAGCTAGTTTCAGATTTTGTGTAATATATTCAGCCTTTCTCTGTCTTTTTTGGGGGCTTATTCTGCTCATTTCTGCTCTATCCAGTTTATTCAACTCATTTCTCTTATTTTTCTGCTGCTTTTATTTTCCTGTTTTCTGCAAATGTCAGCTGTTTAAATTTAGCTCACATTAACAGTTTAGAGATGAAACCATTTCAGCTTCTTCAGTAGCTTCTAGCAAGAACCATTCAGCAACAAGCACTCACACAGGAAATGACATTTCTTTAATTTCATCTGATTATCATCATTAGTTTGTCAAAATTAAACCAAAGCAACCTGGATAAAACAAAAGCCAACAATTCAAGGAACACTAATCACCTCTTTATCTCTGAAGCAATGCAGATGTTTTACCACTAGGTGGCAGGCTTTCATCACTAACAGAAGTTTTTCTGTCAGTGACTCAGCTGTTGCCTGTGATGAGCAAACCTTTGTCCGAAATAGAAAGCCTTTAAATCCCCTCCCTGCCCGATTTATCTGCTCTTGCAACACCATCTCATAAACAAAACGGAGAGTTTTGGAATGCTGACGGTTTATCTCAGCTCGAGCCACAGTTATTAATGATGATAACAAGTTCTAGCCTCAGGGAGCTTGGAGACAGGACCTGCGAGTGAAAGCAGAGGAGGCCCTTTTTCCTGTTGTTGTACTGCTGCCGCTCATGTGTGAGAGGAACGGAGCAGCACGGCCTGCTCGGCTGCTGGCCGGCCCGCCGGGTGGGGATTGTGAAACTGCTGAAGTCGGCAGTAGGCACAGAGATCCCTGTCTCTCTCGCATGTTTGCTCCGTGTTTGGCCCCTTACTTCACCCCTTCTGTGCATTAATCAAGGCAGGTCTCTGATTTGAGCAAGATCCGGGTTTGACCTCATATTTTGTACAAATGATGCAAATCTCTCACTTTATCATCTTCTGGATGTCCTTAAAGGAAGCTAAGACAGGAGACGTACAATGTGGATCAGACATGGGCAACAGATAGTCCGAGGGCCAAAAGTGGCCCTCGGACTATCTCCAACTGGCCGCCCGGAATCCACAATTGAAATGTAAACAACTTTTAAATAAACTGATGAAAACCTGTATGAAACTTAAGGCAGTTTAAATTAAACCACTTAGACAAATACATAATTTTTTAATTAACGGTAATTAATTACTAGAAGACCTTTGCCAAGCTTTTTATTACTGTAGCATAGTTAGCATGCCTTTCCAATTTCCTTTAGGAATGTGAGACAAATGGCTCTCGTGACAATATATTACACGTTAGCTTCACACACATGTTGTGCAGAAATATGCAAAACAAACGTATGTATTTGTACTTCTAAGTCGTTAAGGTTCAGTCTAGTTCGGGAAACACAAAGACTTAAAAATGTTTTTAAAAAGTTTTGACTAAGATGTTTAATTTAAATTTCCTTACATTTCACTAATAAATTGTTTTTTTTGTTTGTTTGTTTTTTAAACCAGTCTTTATTTAAAAAGCTGTTTGTTTGTTTTGTAACTAAGTGATATTGGGGGGCCTGATGGAGATTTTCCACGGGTCACTTTTGGCCCGCGGGCCTTAACTTGACCACATCTGCTCTAGATTAAGACAGGACTAATTTTTTTTTATATTTTTTTTTGTGTGTGTGTGTTTCTAGAACTAGACTGACTCTTAAGTAGCTCAAAAAACAAACACGCTTTTTTAAGTTAACAAATATGTTGCCATAAGAGCCAGTTTACAGACAGGATGTCTTTTATTCCTAAAAAGTATTAGGGAGACACATTTTGGTCAAGAATGCTAACTACGTTACAAGAAAAAGGCTGACAAAAGTCTTCCAGACTATCTGTCTTAAATAAAATTTATTTTTCAATATCTATGCTTGGATTGCTTTAAATATCTTCATTTGGACCTCTGGAAAAGTCTGCTGCCCACCCCTGGTGTGGATGCTACAGTTCAGGTCTTGATTGCAACAGAGTGAGTATTTTAAGTACAGCAAACTCATCTCAGTGATAGTGAAGGGAGGAGGTTTCATGGATGAATGGAGTAATCTGGCCCACTGACTCATCCAGGGTATGCCCCCTTGCTCTATAAACACAGGAAGTTCCCTTCGCCCTCATTGTTTTCTCTGTCCTAACACCATAACTATTTACAAGTTCAGTGGATTAGTTTTACTGTAGCCCCGGTGCTTTTGTTGAGCCAGAGGAGAAACCTAATCCATGCCAGTGCTGAGATGATTAGCAGAGTGTTTATCAAACCCACACGCATTTGGTTAGTTGGAGCAGTTTCCGATGAGCTTTCTGTAAACTGTGGGTTGCCATGTGTGTGTGTGCAGGTTTCCAAATGAGACACCTTTAGAGGTCCTGGAGCGTTTTCAAAAGATATCGTTCATTCCCAAACGTCAGCTTGTCACGAATCATTTCAGTATTGACACACTTGAAGTGAAGCTGGCTGGTACAGCTGTGCATGGAAGTCTTTCCAGTAACTATGAAGCTCAAAGGCCAGCGGGTCAGCTCTTTTTAAAGCTCTGAATTGACTCATATTTAGGTTTTTCTCCCTTTTCTGAGTCATTCAGGAGCTGGTGAGTCTCAAGAGTTTATGATAATGACTTCTGGCCTTTTCCCATGTTTTCTAAAGATGTTTGATGCTCATCCGAGGAGCTTTTTTAAATTTTTATTTTATTTAAAATACAAATGGAAAAGTTTGGAGTTACAAGCTTTTAAACTGGAGTGAGTTGCTTTGTTACTGTATTCAGGCTGAACTCACATGCAAATTCCTCTCCCGTTCCTCCCTGCTGAGGGTTGTTAGGACCTTTCCTAGCCTTGATACACGATAAATGTTTTGGTCACATGCACAGAGGTGTAAAAGTGTGTCTATATGTCCCTGTGATGGACTGGAGACCTGCCCAGGGTGTCCCCCACCTCTCTATGGATGGATGGGTGGTTGGATAGATGGGTGGATGGATGAATGGATGGATGGCTGGCTGAATGGATGGATGGATGGGTGGATTGGTGGATGGATGGATGGGTGGATTGGTGGATGAATGGGTGGATGGATGGATGGATGGATGGAT